TTAATTTTGGCTATCTTTGAAGCATAACAATTTGACATAGTCTGCGTTTCTTAGTTTAACATTCTACATATCTCTAACTTTTAAGCAGCTAAACAGTTATTCTGTAATAAAAGAAAACAATATATGGTGTTAGAAACATCCTTTATTAATTATTATAATGATGCTAATATTCATATATATATAAGTTAGAGTAAACTAATAAAATCTATGATATATTATTAAAAATAAAACAAAAATGCTTGAAAAATTCGGAAAGTTTTCAGATTTTAACGGTTGCTTAAAAGAGTTTACTAAGATTTTTACTTAAGATTTAAGTAAAAGTCTTAGTGAATCCCAGTTTAAGTTGTTTAACATTAATAAGATTAAGCTGAGCTCGCAATTTACCAGTCTGCTGTTTCATTCACTCCTACTAACCCATTTTTTGCCTTTTTAACATTATTGTTAAGCCTTGTTAGCTTCACACTCACGCCATATACAATTCAACAGCAAAATTACAAAAAATTTAAAATAGCATAGCAGTATATGTTTAGAATTCCCGATGTAGCGTTAAGTGTTGGCAAACATTTCTTTCTTTTTCTCAATCTTTTCTCAGTTCCTCATATTAATTAATGTTCAGATTTCTTACTAAGATGGTACGATCTTATTCTCTTAGCTATCGTAAAGTAACCTTATCTTACTGGGAAACCTGGCGACTTCTCGCACAAGCATGAGTAATACCAGCACGGAATAAGAGTAAATTAAATCATTTATTATTCGTCAAACTCTTAACACAAATACTTACAATAACACCGACGACTTGCGGCAGAACTTAAGAATAATTTAACAATATATTCAAAGATAAAGAGTAGTGCTGGACTGACAATTTAATTTAAGGTTAATAGGCTGACTCAACAACCTACCCGGCGATATGACCAAAAAGGTGTATCAGCTGATCGCCGTAACAGCAAGGACGAAATCGTCACGTGCGATGGCTAGAAATATCATGCTCTGAATAAACTACTCGTTTCGTCTGATTTTGTATTTATCATCGCCAGATTTTGTATCGTCTGATTTTGTATACATCCTCGCCAGGATGCAAATTTAATATTTGCATCCTGACGAGGAAATGCGGGGGGGGGGAAATGAGAGTTTCAGGGAAGGTATCAAACTTAAAATAATTTATGTAAAACTAAGCGAAGCGGTAGAAGAAGGCTTTACAAAACTTGTTCTTTTGCTTTGTATTAATGTTTTGTATGCGTATCTTAATTAAATATGACGTTCTTGGGACTTATGCCACGTAAATTCCATTCAACAGGAAAATTAAAACGTATTTAAAAATAGCATATTTTTTAGAATTTCCAAAAGACAGATTCGCGCGTTGGAAATAAAAATATTTTTTTTTCTGTACAGTACTGCCATTGATCACTTAGAAATCATTAGATTGTTAATCAAAAATTCGTTACAGTTTTACGAAATATGAAACAGATAGCAAAAAAAATTCGAAATTCAAAATTCAGGTTTCCAGGTGCCCATGTTCGGGAGGAGGAATTGAAAAGGTGATGGATCTAAGTATCGTTCTTTTTACAGTGCGAGATAGATGCATATATTATTATGTAATTTGTATAAATATAATATAGGGCGGTAATATTTGGCGGCAACAATTTGAAAAGTGATACGCCATCAATAGTGATTCAACACAAAATGCCTTGAGACTAATATCCTATTCGGTAGTAAAGTCCCTTTCGGGCTAAAAAATGTAAATTATTCGGGACTACATTTATTGCTTTTAAATAACGCAGTTACCAAGTAATTCCAGATGCACATCGAAAGACAAATCAAGAGTTTATGCCTGGTCGAAAAGCAGTTCTCTGAGAAATGACTATTTGCCTAGCCACGTGAAAATTAAAGATCTTATGTTCCTGGTATGTCAATGCTTATTGGCTGTCTTTGATAATAAATACCCTTATGACAAATATCGCTTTGATCATAAAATGCTATTTTAATGTAACGGCTCACACATTTTAACTGCCGTAGATACTGAGGTTCATTACAGATATTATTAGATGCTGGTACATCACCAAAATGTCCACTCTTTTTCTAAAGACTACTACAGGCGTTTGTAACATCAGAATGCTTTTAAATAATGAAACTAACTTCTAACGGGGGCCCACCAGCGGCCGAGTAGTAAAGTCGCTGAACCCTGGTACTTCGTTTCGAGGTTCAATTCCCGCGAACGGGCTGGCTGCATGGGCGTTTTTGTAGTTCTCTTCGAGTGTAATATGTATACGAGCCAGTTTCCTTTAGAAAGTCCTCCGCGAAGGCATTCTTCCCTTCCGTGTAGTGCCTAAGGGCGGATTACATAAATAATAATAAATAGCTTCTAACGGGCTTAGAAAAACGTAAACTTAAAACTTGAAAGCTCCCGCTCTTAGTTTTATCATTATCCAATTTATTCGATAAGTACGCATATTAGTTATTTCCAGAATAAAAAAAAAATAGGATAAAAACAGAGAAATAGGTTAATATACTTAATATGAATTTGATTAATGTCAGTCTACATGTCTAAGATTTAGTAACTAATTTGGTTTTTACCTAAACTCTACAGTCAACTATTAAAGATTAATTTCAATTTTTGGTTTACTCAAGTGAAAAAAAAAAGCGCAAATAGTTTTATTTTTAACGGATAACATCAAATGCATATAAGATGAATAATAAAACAAACATAAAATTTATACTTTTTTAAATGTTAACTGATATATTTTAAACAATTGAGTTTACGCTTATAATTTGACGAGATGTTTGATAAATAATTTTTCCTCGTTTAAAAAAAATTAAAAATTTATAAATTGAAAAGATTGATTCTTAAAATAAAAATAAACCAATTGATTAATCTCTTTCATAATGGCGCAGATGTTGCTAAAAGTTATCAGTTGGATGTATTATGAATTATGTTGGCAGGATAGTGGATAGGCTTGCAGATGCAAAACAGACAAAAGATTCGGAAGAAAGGGGCAAGAAAAAGGCTTTTAGTTTCTCATAGCGTAATAAAGGCTATTTCTTCTTGCTCCAATGAATGAAATCCCTTCAGATCTCTCTGGAGGAGCTCGATGGAAAGGAAGAAATGTCATTTTGAAACAAATGACTCTTTGTGCTTGATTGTCGCATTATTTAAATTTGGAAATTATAAAATAATAAAAAAATGCGTCGTAGGTAGGGTGTTGTGAGCAAGAACCCTTTTTGCTCCCCTACTGAGCGCCGGAAGCTTGAAAATTATGTTAGCCCCACTCTCAGGGCGAATAAAGGAAAAGCGTGTTGCATAATTTTACTTTGAATCCGTGTTTTTAAATAACCTTCCAATGTGTGACATGCCATACGCCTTAAGCAGTGTAAGATGATGGGAGGCATAATTGTATTAAGTTCTGTTTGAATAATAATTATGAAAAGGAATGAACAGTGCCAATATTATCGAAAAGCAACGAGAAAAAAGGGGTAGGGTAAAAGTAAAAAGAAAGGAGAAAGATGATGTGTGTGGACTGATAGTCTGATGGAGCAATTGGTGTTATGAAGGAGAAACGTCTGGAAAAAGGTGCTCAGGTTAGAAAAAGATGAAGAGTGCTTTAATGAACTGAGTTTAACTTGCGAGATGAAGGAAAGTAACTCACGCTGAATCGGACTCCCTGAATGATGAACAACTGAATAGAATGTAACTGGTGTGTGTTTAAAACTGTGGTCAAGACAGTTATCTGATGAATGTTGGAGAGATTGAATGAGTTTCATTTCCGATAACGAGGGTGTTTAACTGGTAGTAAGACTCCTCGCATGATAATAAAGTGAATTAGACTGTAATTTAGTATGTGTTCGAAACTGTTGTTTAGCGTGTAATGGAAGCCAAAAAAGGGGGGGAATGTGATACTGTCAATTAAGACTTGAGAAGATATGCCGTCCCAGTTTCTGAGACGACAATCTATGTGATACGTTCCGGTTTGCGGCGTCTTAGGAAGAATTCTTTCCTGGATGTTTTCGTTGATTCCTGATAGCTCCGGTTTGAATAGAGCCACCTGGACTGTAAGTTATAGAGTGCGATAAAATTGGGAACCCGCCAAGCTATATGAGTTGTTTTCCTGCTACACTCTTCAGAATTTTATTGTGGCAAATTGTGATCTTACAATGAAGAAAGTTAACTTGTCTCTGAGGTATCTATTGATGACAGCCCACGTAAATAGTCACCTCTTCATAATATACATATATTGCATTGTAATCTTATTAATTTGAGTTTAAGCACAATGTTTCATCCGCCAAAAGATTATAAAATGTTTTTGTTTGTGCCAAGATTAGATATAAAAAGCCTTGATGTAATAATATGCCTTATTTGAATCAACTATACATTATCTGACATCCCCCTTGAAAAGGGAATATAGCATTTGATGTTGATAAGTATATTATATATGTACATATGTACAGATATTAAGTACCATAACTTAGATATTAAGTACCATATTTTTGAATTTATATGTTATCTTGTTTAACTGTCTTCCATTGCTATTAGTTCAATTATCAAAACTGTATTTATCCCTTAGAACCTTGGGTTATGTTCTTAATGATTTAGTTTAATAATCTAGATTGTGATTGTTCACATTTATCAACTCCTTCCCACAACAATAGCTAAGTTTATGTTTTCGTTCTTCAACTATTAGTTGCATCAATAGCTTTTCCATTTTTAATTCGTGAAGAAAGAAAGAGCAACAGCGGACATCAAGCTTGCAAGCCAGAGAAGCGAGACAAGAATGAGCAAGTTATACTTTGAAGGTCTGGAGAATGCTTATTCAATAAAAATTGTTGCTTGCTTTTTAATGCTCCGTCCCCCGAAAAAAAAGAGAAATCTGCCAAAATAGTGCTGCATGAAATAAAATGTAAATGCATTCAAGTTTGTAAAGTCTGCATAAAACTTCAAGGAAGGAATATAGTGATAATCTAATTCTGCAAAAAACACAAAGCTAAAGAAAATACGAGAAGTTACTTACGTATGTGATCATTGGTATATCCCACGCAGCGGCGACGAGAGCCTCTGACACGCAGCTGTGATCTGGACCAATAAAAGCTGTAACTCCATCGTCCTTCATCTGAGTCATCTTTCTTATTGTGACCGCAGTGTTCGGTTCTCCAGAATCGAGATACATAAACCTTAGGTTGTGATCGGGTAGTAATAATGGATTTTCATTGACCATCTCTACCGCTAAGGGAATAGCTCCAGCTATCAGATTCCCCAAATACTTGTGAGAGAATAAACACTTTATTAGTTAGCAGAATAAAACTAGGAAGAGAATAATCAAAATTTAAACTAACCAAAGAATCATCTTAATAGAATCATCAGAAAAACAAGTTACCCTAGAACTACTGCAAAATGCATTTGTGTTGTACTAAAAGTATATTTTGATACTTTTTGCATGAATTTGTTGCTTTAAGCTACCAAGATTTGGATATAATGAATATTACTACTCATTTTTCGGTAAATTTTAAATTCGCTATTAAAACTCATTAGTCTGTCAAAATAATTACGTTCATAATAATAATTTTCTAATTATTCCAAATCTGATTATTACTAAAGTAACTAACTTTGCCCGACAATGCATCTCGAATGATTAAAACATATACCAGTTAACGTTATGAATATCCAAAAGCAGATGTCGATGAATTTTATAAAGTCTTATAAAAGGTAATATAAAACTGGAGGCATACTCATTTCTCAAATAGTTACTGTTTCCAAAATTCTGAAAAATATAATCTTCAGCAACTTAACAGTCTTTTTTATATCATGGCATTGCATAATGTGAATAGTTATCAGAAAATTCTCTGAAAGTTAACCTTCCATCTACTATAATCTGGAAAACAAATAAGATCTTGTTAAAGAATGGTGGAACTAATAAAGATTAAGCAAACATAATTCTTGGGACTTAAACCATTATATTTTTACAGCATATATTTATTAAAGTATCCTGATACTATTACTGACTAATAATATTTATTTGCCTTTTGGAGAAGGCAAGTAGTTAAAACATTAAAAACCTATAAAATTTAGTCCAGGTGACAATGCATATACGAGAGGAATGCATAAAATCTCAAGTGAATTAATAAATATGAATGAAATCAGCAGAAATAAGGGCATATTTACAAAACTTGTAACAGCTTCAAGCACTAAACTGTTTATTCGGTTGATTTGATGCAAAGACTGCAAGGACAGACTTCTAAAGGAAGAATGTTTTAAAGGGAAGCTTATTCATATTGACGTAAAACAAGGGAAAAAACCCGAGAATAACAAGCAGCCAAGACGTTCAATCTGCATAAAAGGGCCTCTAAATGAATTAGTAAAGTTCGGCAACTTTAATATTTTCACAACAGAAAGAGTCACTAAAGTGGCGCTATGCTACAAGTATGTATAGAGTTGGTATACGAAATTCTAGAAACAGGAAATGTAGAAGAGTTCAAAGAAGTATCTAACTTGAAAAAGTTGCATCAAAAGTACAAATGTAATGCACAAAATGTGAAAAAATGGGTCAAACTTGCCTATGTAATTTTGGACATTTCGAAGAACTATCTGCTTTAATATTTGATGCTACTACTTTGTAACACCGGTTATATACATCAAAACTCTAAAAGAAGAAAATCCCCATGTTGAAGTATCATTGTAATTTTATTATAATTTCATTATCTGATTATTAAATTCGTAAAATTTAGTGCATTACATAATCTATTTACTTATCATTCATTATATATAAAAATTTTGTTATGTGTAAAATTCATCTAGGCAAAAAAATGTGCACTCTATTAAAGCTAATTTAAATACCTTGAAGGAGCAAAGGAAACCTATGGTAATGTTGGGTTTATTGGGATCCAGTGGATGTTCTCGAGCAGAAGATTTCAGGCGATGAAGATCCACTACAGTCCGGTGGGGTTGAAGTTCTGTGCTGCTCAGTGTGAAGAGAAAGCTGGTTACCAAAAGCGCAGTGGCCATGGAGGACATGTGTACGTTGGAGTGCCGTGAGCATAGTATGACATTCCAGATATCCGAAATCTTCCAAGGACGTTGAACGCTGGCGGAAAATATCCACTCATTCTATGCAAATAAGATCTGGGAGTGAAATATCTCTGATATTTTGAGACATTTTTGGCGAACATGTGATTCTGCATGAAAAGTCTAATTTATAGTCGCTCGGCAAAAGGTGAAACAAGATAATTTCTGCAGCGGATGAAATATATTTCCATAGAGAAAAGGAAGCGATTCAGCACCTGGTAAAAAAAAAAAAAAAAAAAAAAAAAAAAAAAAAGAAAACACATATTAGATTACAAACTGCGCGTTAATTTCGTAATAATTCGCAGAAATAAAAGAAAGTTGAAATATTTTTCATTGTTTTGTTGATAGACACATACGTAACCGCATATTTAAAAATAAGGAAAATCCTTTCTCTTTCAAGAAGTTACTTATCGTTTAAAGATGACAAATGCATTCATAATAACAATACTTTGAGTGCGAATTTGAAAAAAAGATGTATTTTTGGCGAATCATGTGCCTTCATAAAGCTGAATAACTGTTTTGATCCCGAAAAACACCACATGACGTGTTTTTTTTTTGGTTTCGTAATACCGAACACTCTCGTCATATTTACAATACGTGCTAAAAATACCTTCAAGGAAGTTTAAATCATTCTCTGTTAATAATTAACATTCTTTCGGAACATGAAGTATCGTACTGTTTTCCACTTGAACTACATTTTCTAATCTCTTTAATTATACGATTAATGAAAAGATTTTGCCAGTAGCTGTTGTTATAAAACTAACAGAAAAAAAAGGATGACAGAAAAAGGAAGGAAAAAAGTATCTGTTTATTCTACATGGTGTTACTAAACAGAGAATAATGTTTATCATATTAACTTTAGGTACCAACAACATTATTAAAAAAAATAAATCACCGTTAAAAGAAAAAATATCTTAAATTCGTAACGAAAATAAAGTTATAAGTTTTCATCGCTAAGAGAGGAAAGATGATTAAACCTCTAATAATAATACTGTTTAAGCTAAGTTATTGTATAAATAAGTAAGCCATTAATACAAAAGAATAATAATGGGTCATTTGTATGAACATTAAACTTGGATGAACCTGAAAAGCACTAAATAGCCGAAGTATTTTAAAATGAAGAGAAATAAAAAATAGGTCCTGGTGAAATTTCTTTATTTATATAATAACTTTATTTATTTATTTATTTCGTAACATATTTCTATCAATTTATTTAATAAGATGCAAAATAGTAAATGCTGCCAGGTGTTAAACCAGTACTTGTTTCCAATCTTCAGGAAGGGGATCCAGAGATCCAGTCTAAACACGGTTACTGGCTAAGATTTTACCTTTCAGGTGTAGTCAAGAAATAGTTTACTGAATTTGTACAATTTCAAACGTTAAAATTTGTTTATCATTATAAAATTTGCATTCAAACATAGAATAAAATTATTCTTTCAGAAAACCTTTTACGTCTACACAAATAAAGAATTTATTGAACTTTTAGAACCGTAGATTAGAATAGAACTACAAACATTCGTTTAAGTGGGATTACAGCTTATTTAGGTATTAAAAAAATCCGGATAATTGAGTTATAGCATTTTTCACGTAGAGTAAATACTTATTAACATGCCAAAAATAGTATAGAAATCTAGTATTTAATATGTTTTTCGCGAAAGCGTAAAACTGCTGAAAATGAAGTTCACAAGTATGTGTGTGTATTCTATAGGCACTGAAAAGCGGTCCATAATTTTGCTGTATTCGAAACTGGTCGCCTTGACAGATATAGTGGTTAGTTCAATAGCTGCTGTACCAATGGGTCCAAGTTCGAATCTCGAAGATATGAATACATATTTGAAAATGGGTATACTATGAAACTTCCATCGCTTGTAAGTGTATAGTGTCTATGCAGCATAGGGGCATTCAAAATACTCATGCACCGAAAGTCCTGTCGAGTGATTTGGTCATAAAGAAAGAGGGCTGGGAGACCTCGTCCTCTGGGATGTTCTCCCTAGAACATGCGATGAATAGCTAGTAATTTATATCTTTAATCAGTATTTAAATGGCAAGTACCTTAATTTTATAAAGCTTTAGAGGCGAATGGGCACTCTATGTAAAAGAAATTCTTTGCAATGAAATGCAAAAGAAATGTTTGCAAAAATTCTAATCACAGATAGCAATAGCAAGGGGCCAGTATGAAGATGGAATTCATGGAAATGATTCACTATAATCACCGAACATCACCGAAAAAATCACCGAATCACCAAAAACATCACCGAACTGACTGAAAGAACTGTAGAACTTCAACCCACAAAATACTGAATCAAATAAACATGTGAAAACAATCGTAATCCATATGACTTAACAATATGCAACAAATTTGTAACTACCATGTAAAATCAGCTGTATCATCATATTGAAGTAATATTTATGTACCACCATGGCATAATGTAACTTTTCATAAATTTAAATGTATAAAAGAAGCACTAGGGACTTGTGGACGAGCTCCTAATGCACTGCTGGCAGTGGTAAGGCCCGCGGTGTAGCGTGAGGCAGGAATCTTCTGTTCCAAGCTAACCTATTCGGGAAAGTTAGTAGAAAGGGACAACACCTGTATCAACCTGTTGGCAAATATCTGGTGTCGCCCTACTTATACCTATACCTATATTCAGTATTGTAGTTTTGCTTCAGTATTCAATATTTTACATCTATTTATAGTGTTATGACAGTATTCAGAATGGTACTTGCTTTATGCAAAGAAATCCTTATCATGCATTTATTTGTAATTATGTAGCAATATCAGCCAAGGTACCTACCCAACATTACCATGTATTCATTAGTAGATTACTTACGGTTTTGCAACGGAACATTTTAGCATGTAATTTCGGAGTGAAATTGTATGTAAAAAGTAATATATTTTTGTATAAGGTAATGAATTTTGTATATAATTAGCAAGTGTTTCATATAAATATGACCTATTATGTCATATCTATATGAAACACTTGCTAATTATATACAAAAAAATAAATGTATTTGAAATTTAAATTAATAAACATAAGATTACAACAATGCGAATGGACTGTAGTACAACTTTTTTACGATTTCAGCTTTAGAACACAACACAGCAAAACGTAAAGCATGAAAATTACAGTTAGCGTTTGCAAGAATTCAAAAACAAAATGCGAGCTGCGCATACGAACTGCGCGTTGCGAAATAAGATCTCATAGACAGGCAGAAGACTCTAGTGGCCGAAACATTCCGCCCGGCAATGAAACGTCGTCTCAAATCTAAATAGCTTTTGCAAAATGAAATTGTCATAACAATATTAAATTACGCAAAAATGTTTCATAAAAATATTCACAAGAAAACATAATATGAAATTATGAAAGGAAACTAAATTGTTCTCAAAACAGATGCACAGAAGCCTTGATACAATTCAAGAACTTAATTATATTTAAAGCAAAGGACAAAGTTATAATGCTTTAGAGGAAAAAAAAACTTAAACACTAATAGGCAAAACACTAAGTTTGTGAATTGGCCTTTTGAAAAGTCCATTAGCAGTTTTGATACGCACAGTATTATCTGAGCTAGGAAAAACTTCCAACACTCTTCCTAATTTCCATCGTAGCGGAGGTAAAGTGTCTTCCTTTATGGTAACTAAATCATTAATCTTTAAATTAGGTTGCACTTTAAACCATTTTAAACGTCGTTGCAAATTAGAAATGTATTCATTTGACCATCATTTCCAAAAGCTTTGAAACATTTTCTCAAGAAGCTTCCAACGTTGCAATATGGGAATTTTTTGATCGTGTAAATTTTCTTTAGGTAACGCAGTTTGCGGGGTACCAATTAAGAAATGTTCTGGCGTAAGTGCAGAATTATGATGGATCTTCAGACATTGGACACAAAGGTCGAGAATTTAAACAAGCTTCAATTTGACATAGCAATGTCGTAAATTCTTCTTGAGTTAGAAGTTGTTCACCTATGGTTCGCTTGAGATGTAACTTTGTAGATTTGACTGCAGGTCCCATAATCCTCCAAAATGTGGCGCTGCGGGAGAATTAAATATCCACTTAATACTTTCAGTAGAGCAATATTTATTAACCAATTCATTTTACCTCAAAGAATTTATTACTCTTTTCAATTCCTTATCTGCGGCAATAAAATTCGTGCCACAATCGCTATGCACTTCTATTGGTTTTCCTTTTCGAGATACAAGCGCTTCAAAGCGGCAATAAATGATTCTGATGTTAGATTAACTACTAATTCAATATGTATCGCTCTTGTAATAAAACACACGAATACACAAATGTAGCATTTCATTGGTCACGGTTTTATTGGTCATGAGTCATGGTTTTACTCCTCGACCTTCACTTGAAATGGCGTAGTCAATTCCAACCTTGGAGAAAACCTTTGACGGAACGACTCTAGACGATGGTAAGTCAGAAATTATCTGGGTAGATGTTATAGCACGTACACGATGACATTTCACACATTTCCAAATCTGTTGTCTTATAACTGACCTAGCGTAGATGATCCAATATTCTTTTCTAATCACAGATAGCAATAGCAAGGGGCCAGTATGAAGATGGAATTCATGGAAATGATTCACTATAATCTGGGTTATGTGATGTTTCTTTGGCAACAAAATAGGATATTTTCTGTCCTGCGCGATGTTGGCTTGTCTTAATCTTCCTCCGACGCGTATAAGTCCATTTTTATCGATAAAGGGATTCAAAGAAAGGCTCTTACTATTTAAGTTTAACGGTTGGTTCTTCTTCAGAAGATTATTTTCATTAAAAAACTCATCCCTTTGATTTACTCTAACAATTGCATTTCTAGCGTATTGCAATTCTTCGGTTTTAAAGTAACCTTAATCCTTGTTGCAGTAGATTTAGCTGAATTATTCGCAAACCGAAAACACCATGCGATTATTCTTTTAAGTTTCAAGAATGATGAAACTTCATTAAGAACTGGAATTTGCGAAGCAACTGTTCCAATTGAAGAAGAAACATTTTTCCTTTGTTCTTTTAAAGACTCTCCTGAAAATGGTAAGTTGATAGAGAACGGAATATTATTTGAATTAAGTCACTGAGGACCTGTCCACCCCAAGTCATGAGTAGAAAGTTCTGAAGGCAAAAGAGCTCTTGATGCGCAATCAGCTGGATTCTCCTTCCCTTTTATGTCATTCCAATGCAATGATGGTAAGACTGATTGAATTTTTGAAACG